GACCACATAGGTCAATGCGCGTTTGCGAACTATGGACCTAGTACATCACCGCGTGCTCCATGAACTGAACTGTATGGTCGGCGGTGAGATGACCCTTTATCCCTGACGGATGCCCTTGTGTCCCCTCGTGGAGTCAACCACCCACCAACCTTCCTTCTTCTACTACTACCTTTTGCATGGACGACATCATCATTGTTACCACCTGCATGGGTGGCTTCTTCTCGTTATGCGCGTTGGGGACTATCCCGTTTTCTATCCTCTTTTGTTTTGTGCCTGACCAGGATCCAAGACAAAGACAAAGACCAAAGGCGCCAGGATCCAAGACAAAGACCAAAGACAAAGGCATCCAAGGAGACCAACGTCCTAAGGGACAAAACCCATCTGTGCTTCCGACAACCAAGTCGACCAACGTCATGAGGAACAAACCCATCTGTGCTTCCGACGATCGAGCTTTGGGCGCGATCCCCGAAACCAAAAGGGGGAATGTTGAGGGTATGCCCTCATGAGGAAATTACTATGCAGTGATTTTCTCCAAAAAGACTGTGCTTAAATTGCTCTGAAAAAGCAGATAATAACATCAGCACCAGAGACACTTCATTTCCCATGATGCTTTGCATAGGGAAGCAAGGTGATGACGTCACCACAACAACCAGCTCAAAAACTATAAGTTTCAGCGAAAAACGAAACTTAACTGTTCTTGTGTACCAGTTGCACTGGTGTAAAGGACACGCTGCTTGCTCCAGCTCCATTCAACTCAAGCACGCACGAGGCCTGGAGGCTGAAGGGTGCGAACACTGAGCCGCTGGAAAAGCAACTCCAAAACCATCAAGCTCACGAAGACGTAAGTTATCAAACTCAGCACAAAGAAACTTTGCTCTCTCTGTCCAGCTGATCCCATGGAGAAACACCAGTGGGAGAAACAACGGAGAAGCGTAAATCACATCTGACCAGGGAACACAAAGGGACGCCTTGTTTTGCCCCGGAACAGCTGTTATCTCCTGCAAGTTTTATTTCATTTAAACGTTTACCTTTTCTCGTCTCTTCTAGACCAAGATAAGCAGTCGACCGCGTGACTTGCTTCAAATTATCAGACGGTTTTTCTCTTCTTCCGTATCAAAATTCGCTCACATGGTTATTTGGTAGAGAGTAAACTGTTTATTTGTCATCGTTAATATCTTTAAATAGTTTCCAGCTGTGGCCAGGCTGTTTAAACTGTCAGATGTTAATTTACGAGTGACCTTTGTTGTTTATCAATCTTTCTGAAGTGTTTTGTCAACTTTTGAAGTGTTAAAGTTAAGTTTTACTGTGATTTTTAAGTCACTAAGTCTAATTCCTTTGCCTGCATCTGAGAGAGAAGAAAAATCACACACACATCCTCCAGCCTTATCAGACACACACACTCCCCACACACCTGGGAAAACAAAGCCCCATTCATACATCCTCCATCTCACACACACACACACACACACACACACACGTACGTGTTTTTAGTGTTTGTGGGGACATCATTCACACACACACATCTTCAATTATATAAAATTGTTTTGCATTATTAATCTCCTTGTTTAATTAAATGTTATAAAATTCAGATTTGTCTCCGATTTCTTGTGTCGATTTAAAATCTCTGCTCCTGACGGATTCCACCCTTTTGATAGACTGATAAGAGTTTGGATTCATTTCCCTTTCTAATTAAAGGGAATGGTGCCCCGTAGATTCGTAAGAGTATCTTAATTAATTAATACATCGGTAAATATTCCCATATTTACAGAATTTATTGAAGAATCCAAAAGTAATTAATTAATTACTAATTACTCGCTCCTAATTACCCCAACACCTGCCTCCAACATGCCTCCATCTAAAAAGGCTGGGTTATCCAGTTATCTCTGTAGTTATGCTGCTACAGGCTTAGACTGCTGGTGGATACACTGACCACTTTTCACACTCTACTACTTTCTTCTACAATCTGCTCTTTAACTGTATTATTTTCTGCAATTTCAGCTGTTAACTTTGTATTTTTCTCTTAAGTGTTTTTCTCCCCAGAAGAAGCTACAATGATGTTCTGCTGAGCTGTGGCAGCCTCATGGAGGGGGCAATCGTCTTGAATACTGTTGCTAACCATTTAATCATTCTCCCTCTCCTGATAATAACATTCAACTTTCCTTGACAATGAATATGTTTACCTGTTTAATTATAGATTCACTAGGATAAATACAATAACGTTTATCTCTCACCAAATAGAATATTTACTAAGAAATCACAATGTAACCATAGAAACATTACTTGGTGTGAGTGTGTGTGTGTCTGCTCTGTCTTCTTGATCCCCAGTGAATCGTGGGGTGGCTGCTTATACTGAGCCAGGATCCTCTGGAGGTTTCTTCCTGTAAAAAGGGAGTTTTCCTCTCCACCGTCGCTACATGCTTGCTTAGTGTGAGGATTGCTGTAAAGTCACTGACACCAATACCTAGGTTTACCATTGTCCAAAGATAGAAATAAGAGTGAAGAACTAAACACAAAGGAAAAAATAGATGGTATGAGAAGATCTCTCAACCACTGGCTCATGAGAGATCTTACTATCATTGGCAGAATCTTATTAACAAAAGCAGAGGGCTTATCAAAATTAACCTATCCTTGTCAGTCTCTTTATGTCCCCCCCCCCCCCCCCCCAAAATGATAAAAAAAGTAAACTCGATCATTTTTAATGTTATATGGAAGAACAAGACACACTACCTTAAAAAGTCTGTGATGGTTAAAGACTATAAACATGGTGGGTTAAAGACTGCTGATTTTGAAGCCATGATATGTTTACTTAAGCTAAACTGGATAAAAGCTTTTTTAATACAACCACATTCTATATGGTTCCACATACCAAAATGTATTTTCCAAAAGGTTTGAGGATTAGAATTCCTGTTAAAATGCGACTTTGAAATATCTAAAATACCAATCAAACTATCTGACTTCCATAAACAAATACTGCTCTACTGGAAAATGATATTCAGCCACAACTTTACACCACACAGCCCCACCTTGTGGAATAATAGAGCCGTTGTAATTAATAGGAAGACTATATTTAAAAAAGAGTGGTATGATAAAAATATTTTATATGTGACAGACTTGATGGATCAAAATGGCAATTTGTTACAATTTGAATGTTTTGTCGAAAATTTTAATTTCAAATGCTCTGTTAGAGTTTAATCAAATCAGTAGAGCTATTCCACTTCCCTTAAAATTCACAATTAAAAATATCTTGCTTAATTCAAATGTGGTGATTAAACTTCCTGAGTTGAAAATTGGCTCATTTAAATTAGGTGAACAAAAATGTAATGACTATGTACTTGGAAGTATGTTTAAAAATAGTTATTCTATGATTTTGAAAAACCAACGAAAACAAAAATCACAGGATATGAAACTACATTAACAAAGCCATATTGCAGCTATCTTAAATGGCCAATTGCACCCAAGTTGAAAGAAATTCAATTCAAAATAATACATAATATCTATCCTGCTGTCGAAACATTAAGAAAAAGATTTAATTTTAATATGAATCCGTGTCTTTTGTATGACAGAATGTGAAACTATTGAGCACCTTTTCTTCTCGTGTTCAGTAACAATTGGTTTTTGGAAGGATGTTTATCGATTGTTAAATATTGAGAGAAATGATGTATGGCTTAACAAATCTAAAGTGTTGATATACATGGATGCTTTTCCAAAAAAGAAATCCAAAATGGTGAACATTATTTTCGTCATAGGAAAATACCATATACATAAGACTATGGAAAAACAGCAAGCCTAACATTAACCATTTTAAAAATGAAATAAAACAAATTACAACATCTCTAAGAGTATCATCAGAAAATAACCAATCTATAACTGAGTTGTATGAAACAATGTCTGAGTTTCTTGTTCTTTAAATTACAGTCCAATGAATCAAACATGTTTGAAATGCAATGCTGAAATATCAACCTCTGAACATTTTTTGTTTGTTGTTGATATAATTTTATTTTAATTATTATTGTGCATCATAATTTATTTCATGGTAGTGTCATTTGGTAATCGTTGCAAGTTTTAAATGTAATTTTTTATTTTCCTCATGTGAGGTCATTTGTAATTGTTCAGTACGTTGAGGTTACATTGTAAACTGAAAGTATGTGAAAACGAAGATTTAAAAAAAATAACAAAGCGTTTAGAAAAAGTTTTTTTTTTTTGCCAGAAAAGAATCCGTTCGCAATTATCTAACTTCTCTTAGTAAAGTGCACTCAAATAACATTCAAGGACTAATGGAAAATCTATTTTACTACAGAGCCTGCAATATTGCGACTGTTCACTCCGCCATTAGAGTAGCACCTGGCTGCACATTCTCTTTCCTTACTCCCGGAAGAACGGTTCAGAGTGCAAATTGTTTATTTGTTAGTCTGTAAGGAATATCTACAAGAACGTTATACAGAAAGTAGCAAAGGGACCTGAGAAATGTCAATAGGCGCTTTTTTTTTGGGGGGGGGGGGGGGGGGGGGGTTGAGGGGGGTTAAAAAAGTCGTTTGACTCGATCAAGGCGCTTTTTTCAAAACTTTATTGAACAAGGTGATAAGTATACAAACAAATTGCATACAAAATTGAACAAAGAAGATGAAACATATGCCAGGTGGTGCACTACAGAAATGTTACACACATCCAAATAAATTATAGGTGGTGCAAATAGTTATAGTTTTTAAAGCTTTTTTGTTTAGTGGTCCACTAATCAATTTTATGTAAGATAGAGTGTCACTATAATAGTGCTTGAAATTAGGTTTTTGGTTACTATATGTGCATTTGTGGAGATAGAATTTAGCTAGAATAATTAACAAATTTATAACAAAGTATACATCTTCCTTTCTGTGCTTGCGAAAAAAACAAAATACAACATTTTCCCATTTTAAAACAAAGTCCTTGCAGAGCTGTCCGATAATAAATCTGCTAAAGTCTTTCCAAAACGTTGTTCGATCAAGACTTATGGTAGTCCCACAATAGTTTATATTTCCGGGTCAAGCTCGCGACCGCGTATCCGCGCGCCGCCGCCTCTCGCGTTCCTTTCTATCCGCGTGCCCGTAGCTTTACCTGTGTCCACGCTGAGGGTTTCCAACTGGGTAGAGAAATGCCAGCAAAGATCATCTCAGAAATCGAGGAATTCACCATGGATCAAGATATGGACACTGTCGCGGAGGCTAAAACCTTAAAGGTGAGTGTTGGAAGTCGTGTCAACCCAAAAAGTGTAATAAAAGTGTCTCCTACGATGTTCCGTCGACTCCTCCATGTTGACAACATGTGGCTGTCCGCGCTAAGCCTAAACGCCGGCTAAATGATAAACGATTGTAATTTGTATAAAAGAAAAAGACAAAACCAGAAACAAAACAACAGCATACATGTTTCCCTGCTTTGGCTACTGTCATAATTTAGCTTTGTTTAGTGATTAGCTTGCTAACGTGGTGTTAGCATATTTTTGCGTAGCTAACGTTGCGTACACAACGTCCTCCCATTCAGCTGATCTGTAGAACATATGGAACCACGAGTTGACTGGCCACGACGAGAAGGTTTTTGTGTGTGTATCTGTCTTGGTGACGCGTTACGCAATTCTTCAGCTGTCCATGATGTTTAAACAGGACATTTGACTGAAATAGTTTTCATTTCTGATGGTGTATTTTGAGTCAGTTTGAATAATTAAGCAGCTTTTTTTGTCTCAGCTTATTGCGTAAACCATACCTTAATCTTTAGTCAGTGTTTGAGGCTGATGTGTTTAAAAACACCATTTATTAACAATAACGCCTTAAGTAAATGTGATCTGGTCTGATCAATCAGTTTCTTTGAAGTTACATCATGGATCCCTGGGACCATGTGAGATGCCAAACTTGGTAAAAGAGTAAATAAAGGGAAAGAGTGCATCTTCATGAAAAAATCATCAGGATAATGCACTCTGTGATATTTAGTAATAATTTAATTTAAACGTTTGCCTCTGATTATTTAATTTATGTAAATTGCGTTGATTTTCTTGAAGATAAAGAATAAGTCCAAGGAGGGCAAAAGGATGAAGAAGCAACAGCAGCAGGACTTGGAGGAGCAGCAGGATCCAGACTGTGAACCTCCTGCACCAAAAAAGAAAAAGAAAAAAGAAAAACTGGCAGCGGACCAAGTCAATGGCCACATAGATGAAGCCACAGATGTAAACAGCAACAGCAATGGTGTAGAATCACCAAAGAAAACTAAAAGGAAAAAAGAAAAACTGGCAGCAGACCAAGTCAATGGCCATATAGATGAAGCCACAGACGTAAACAGCAATGGTGTAGAATCACCAAAGAAAACTAAAAAGAAACAAGCAATAGAGGTAAGTTTGGGCAGATTTACAGCTTCCTGTTGATAAAAGGTGACATTTTGGATTCCGTTTTCTGATAACCAACACCATCTGTTGTGGGGTGATAGTGTTATGGTGCATAAATATTCTGTTTCTGACCTGTTTTTACTGTCTTATTTTGTTTGGGGTGAGTTTAGAAAAACAAGAAGATAAAAATGGAAAGTCCTGTGGCAACAACCAATGGTCATTCTGCCCCAAACACACCAGTTCAGACTCCATCCCAGTCCAGTGATGACTCAGCCAGTGACGGTGAAAGAGAAAATGTAAGAGCTGGGATATTTATAGTCCTGTTAAAACATGTTTAATTATTTTAGTGCTTCTGAAAAAGCTAATAATCCATATTTTGTTTAATTTAGGAACTGACACCAGAGCAGAGAGAAGGAGCGTTCTCCAATTTCAGAATCTCCCAAATCACTATTGATAAACTGAAAGGTAAACATAGAAAACCTTTTATGTATCTGTTAATTTGACAAAAGCTGCTAAATAGATTTAAACTGTAGTTCTTATGTATGGTATTTTTTTTTTTTATATTCTACGTTTATTTTTTTTTTCTCGTTCTGTTCTTGGGAGAGAATTTGTTCTTTCTCATCTAACCTTTTTTTTTTGTCACTTTTCAATCAAATCTTTAGCTCGAGGAGTTTCCTACTTGTTTGACATTCAGGTAAAATCTTTTAATCCTGTTTACGATGGGGAGGATGTCATCGCCCAAGCCCGCACAGGAACAGGAAAGACCTTCTCCTTCGCTATTCCCTTGGTGGAGAAGCTCCAGAAGGAAGCAGAGCAGAAGATCAGAGGCCGTCCTCCTAAGGTGCACAGTAAATAAGCTCACTTCTGACTATGGTTGGGCATCGTTTGATTTTGAACAATTCCAATTCCTCGTTTCGATTCCGGTTCCTATCAATTCCCGATTCCGATTCTTTCAAGACATGACATGTTTTACATGAGCCAGCTACCCACAGGTCCTGCCTGATGAAATAATCTTAACTTCAACATGAATTTTAATTCTATGAACAACAACATCACCTTCATTTAGACAAAAACATGTTTGGGAGAAGAAAAGAAAAAGACTTGCAGCACAACTAGTGTATTTGTTTCTGACCACAACCAAAGTCTGGAAGAAGCCTCTGGGATGAGAGGCTAAATGTCTCCAACATATCCAGAAACGTCCAGCTGTTTTCAGCTAAACCTCTCAGGATGATCATGTCCAGGACGACTGAGAACTACACCTCCATGCTGCAGCAGCATTCAGGCAGAACAGAAAGTGAAACTTAAATGCAGCTGCTGTCAGTAACAATCTTAACAGATTTTAAACATTAAAACTAGAGGTGCTGAAAAAAATCGATTCAAGTTTGAATCGGGATTCTTATTTATAAAGATTTAGAATCGATTCACAAAGGTTCAGAATCGATTCCAAGAACTCAAATATTTGGCATGTTACAGGTTTGAGATGCACTTTTTCGATCTTTGTTAGGAGAGTCAGTACTCCGTTTACTTTTGTGGTCCCATAAATTGAGATGATTTATGTTTGAATCTGCTGATAAGAGGGCACTTGAATGTAAATTTTTCCATACTCAGAAATTTGAGATATTCTCATATTTATTTTCTAAGTTGATAAATGAGTACTCAGGATTACTCATGTAACTTGTTTCTACACATACATGAAAAGTATTTGACCATATTACTTTCAAAGCAACTGTGAGGTAACTACAGATTTGTTATATTTTACAAGGTAAGCAAAAATAAATGTTGCCTTTTGGTCAAAATATTGCTTCTGTTAACAGTTTTAGAATCACTTTATTTTACATTGTAAATTTGCATTTTAGGAGCATGACCAGTTTAAAGTCAAATAAAAATGTCCCATAGCTTTAACTAACTTGAACAACAAAGTAGTTGATCCTGGAGCTGACACTCTTCGTTAATACTGATTGTGAATCGATTTAAATCGAGAATTGATTCTGAATCGAATCGGCTCCCCAAGAATCGGAATCGAATCAAATCGTGAGTTGCTCTAAGATTCACATCCCTAATTAAAACTCTCAACAGAAATAGTTCAGAAAGGAAATAAAAAAATGTTATTTATTATTATAATTATTTATTGTGGCAGAAGCTGGTGTGGTCCACAACAGAGAAGCTTCTAGCATGGTGACTTTAATTATCCTACTGGTTATTGTTCAGCCTTCTCATGCTCACACACACGAGTGTTGGTGAGCGGCTGCATCTGACTGCTGACACTCCATGTGTGTTTTTATTTCTGCAGTGAGACAAACTCACCTCTAGGGCTGCAACAACGAATCGATAAATTCGATGAAAATCGATTACTAAAAGCGTTGGCAACGAATTGCGTCATCGATTCGTTGTGTCGCACAACTTTTCCAAAAGCGCCCCCCCCCCCCCTTCCCGCCCGCCGTTGCGCGCAGACCAGAGCAAGTCAGATCAGCGCGAGGGAGAGCCACAGATCAGCGCGAGGGAGAGCCACAGATCAGCGCTAGGGAGAGCCGCAGATCAGCGCGAGGGAGAGCCGGCAGATCAGCGCGAGGGAGAGCCGCAGATCAGCGCGAGGGAGAGCCGGCAGATCAGCGCGAGGGAGAGCCGGCAGATCAGCGCAAGGGGAGCCGGCAGATCAGCGCGAGGGAGAGACGCAGATCAGCGTGAGGGAGAGCCGGTACCGGCAGATCAGCGCGAGGGAGAGCCGGGAGACTTGCGCTGCTGCGAACCGGTTCCGCATTGTCGCGCAGCGATCCAGGCAGCTTCTTCCAGCGCATGGTCCATTCTCAAAGTGGCGCAACCAAAAAACTATAATTAGCACACGATCGTTCATGTCCGCACATGTTCTCTATTTTCTGTCTTATTTGTGCCTGAAGCGCTCTGCTGCGGAGCTCATCACCTGTGCTGTGGTGATGTCACCTCACGCAGCATCGAAAACGCGCTCTGCGCTTTTCGGTCAGGAGATCCCTTTGATCTGCTCAAAAGTAACTGATGAGGTGAAAAGGTAAGAATCCAGGCAACAGATTTTCTGGAGAATTAAGAGGAGATGCAGGAAGATGAGAGACAGACAGGACAGGAAAATAGTTAAATAAAAACAAGAAAACAAAACAAAGTGTTGAAAAGTCAAATGTAGGTAGATTTATCTCCACTACACGTTTTTACCAGTAAAAAACAAGTTATACACATGTAATATTTATACATCTGATACAATTCAGATCACCTTCAAAACTCAGTCACACACCCAGGGCTGTTTCAAGACATTTTGGGGGCCAAGGCAAAATGCCCCCCCCCCCCCCCCCAATAACTGGGCTCCCCAGAAGCCTCTGTGTAATTCATGCCCTCTCCAGTAGTGTTAGTTATACGGTGTTTATAAAAGCCCCTCAGACATTACTGACATGTTCTAATATTATCAGATGAAAAACTAAATTATCAGACATGCTGTCTCATCTGCTTCTTTTATAAACTTGCAAAAAGTAACAAAACCATTTGAAAGCCACTATTTGTGGATTCTCTGAAAGTTTCCATGGAGTGTGTGACAACTTATTTTTTCATTGATCCTATCGTCTAATCTCACAGCTGAAACAAGCATCCTTAATAATCTGTGCACAGGAAGCTTACCGATGCTGTAGTAAAACAAAAGGTATAATAATTTATTATTAATAAAACCTTGTTGCAGCACTAAAGCAGAAAAATTAGATTTTGCATTAAATATGCAAAATATTTACATATGAATCGTTTTAGAGCCCTTTAATTGGCAGAATCTGATATTAATTTAGTTCTTACAAAAAATGGGTCCCAACATGGTTTGTGTGGCGTTGCCATAGTGTGACGTCATAGGCACAGATCCCCTGTCCTCTTGTTTGGAAATGGAAATATGGTCACCCTACATTAAACAAACTGTCCACCCGGGCTTTTGCACTGCACAGAGACGCTTCGCTGCCTACGACTGAACGTCAGTTGAGAGTCAGTCTCATGCAGACTGACCAATGAAGAGAAGGCCTCAAGTTAAGACCCTCTCCTCATTGGTCAGTCCACACGAGGTGGGTCAAAGGTTACTCTGGGCGGGTTACGTGTTGTCAGGCATTCAAGTATTGAGTATATTTACTGCATATTACAGTAAAATATTCTGTATGTGACCACATTATGGTGATCCTTGGGTCGTGATGATGGAGCCCTTGAATATTGTTGCCCAGGGTACAACAAAGTGTTAATCTGGCCCTGGTTCCGCCGTCACATTCCCGCAGAAACTGGTTGATCACACCGGGGCCAGACTACTAGCATGTGGTTTTACAACCACAATGTCCTCAGAAGCAAAAACGCTTTTAAAAGGGAGGGAGGAGTCCTAACTGTTGCTGCAGGCGTGTTGTGTGTGAGTGCAGTTATATACTGGTTAATATATTTTTGGGTTCAGTTGCTTTCATGTGGCCTAATGCGAGTCTATTTGGGATCATTGGAATGATCAGCAGCATTTCTTGATGTGACTTTATGGCAGTTGCCCAGGGCATCATCGCAAGGAGGATGGCATTCATTTACTTTTGTTTTATTTGGTATTTTTTCAGTCATTTTTGGAAATAGTGATCAATTTTGATTAATTCACAGCCTACGTTTAATTACATTTAAAATAAATGTCAACAGATGAGATCAAACAAAACAGATGAGAATTGCCCTTAAGCTGTTTAACTTGGACCAAGCATTTTAGGTCACAGATAGATGTAGCTTAGGGTCTCTGTCTATACACCTTATAAGACAATTTAGGTGATGGCATGTTGTTTTTCTGCTATTGAACTGTTTTCTAATAATGTTGTGTTAAATAAAGTGAAGGAAGGAGAGAAATAACGTTTCCCAAGCAGTTTTTAAAAATTTCCCCATGTAATCCGATTAATCGATTAATCGTGTCGAGACCCCATCCGATTAATCGATTATCCAAATTATCGTTTGTTGCAGCCCTACTCACCTCACACCGTCCAGAGTTTGTTCTTTTAAGCTTCTATTAAATCCACCGTGTTGACGTATTTTAACAAGTTTCCTCTCTGGCGCATTTTCGCTACAGAAGTTAAAGTTTACATTACGGAGTAAAAGTTCGTCAGACACGTTTGTTTATATTTGGCCGCTGGGTGGGGGGAGGGGGGACTCGGTGCTGCACACAGACAGCTGGTGTGATCAGCTCTAGAAAGCGGTGATCACAATTTGCAGATCACATTTATTTTTCACGGAGATCGGCCGCGAATTCCTCTTCCGTCGATATACTAGGAATCGAAAAAATAAACTTTGAACTTTTCCGGGAAAAATGAACAGTTGGAACCGGTTCAATGCCCAACCCTACTTCTGACAGTAGTATAGTTTTACCTTAATGTATTTTTTTTTCCTTCACCTGGGTACAATTGTGTTATTTTTTTCTGACACAGGTGTTGGTGTTGACTCCTACCAGAGAGTTGGCCATCCAGGTCGCGAAGGATTTCAAAGATGTTTCAAAAAGACTAGTGATCTCGTGTTTCTATGGAGGAAGCTCATACAACCCACAAAGTACGTTTATTTTTTTGAAGTGGCTGAAATTTGATGGAAAAAAATACAGTGTTTATATACCTGTGGCCTATTTTTATGTGCTTTCTGTGCAGTCCTACACATTTCATAATGAGAATAACATTTTTTTCTTTTAGTCGATGCCACACGTACTGGAATTGATATTCTGGTTGGAACCCCTGGTCGGATTAAAGATCACCTTCAGAACCATAAGCTCAACCTTTCTCAACTTAAACATGTCGTTCTGGATGAAGTGGACCAAATGTTGGACATGGGGTTTGCAGAACAGGTCGAGGAGATTTTGGGTTGCTCGTATAAGAAAGGTACATTTAAATCAAATTGGTAAACAAGAGTTTTGTGTTAATCCATGATTTCATGTGAAAGATGGTTTAGGTGAACACATCAAAGTAACTACCGGTTTCTTCCCCTATAGATAGTGCCTCTAACCCACAGACACTTCTGTTTTCGGCCACCTGCCCCTCCTGGGTCTATGACGTGGCCAAGAAATACATGCGACCCAGCTGCAAGCACATTGACCTGATTGGCAAGAAAACACAAAAAGCTGCAACAACAGTTGAAGTAAGTGGGGGGAGGAAAGGGGGCGGGAGGGGATATGGGTGTGTAATACAGTACCAGATTAGATGCAGACTTTTACCCTCCGTACCAGAATACTGTAATAGAGAACCAATAAGATCATTCCTGCTGGTTTAACACAAATCTTTTTCTTTACTCCTTCAGTTTTCTTTTTTGTTAATCATTTCCTGTCCCTATCTGCTGTAGCATCTGGCCATAGCGTGTCACTGGTCCCAGCGTGCTGCAGTGATAGGAGACGTGATCCAGGTGTACAGCGGCAGCCACGGAAGAACCATCGTCTTCTGTGAGACAAAAAAAGAGGCCAATGAACTGTCCCTGAATGCGTCCATTAAACAGGTAGACAATAGGACAGTGAGCATTTTATTAACACATGTGAAATGTAAATATGCCCCTCATATGTTCAGTTTAGCACCGTCATAGTTGTTTCCTTTGCTTTTATTTAGAAATTCACAACTAATTTATTTATTTATTTTTTAATCCTTTTAGAGTGCCCAGTCCCTCCATGGTGATATTCCACAGAAACAGAGAGAGACGACACTCAAAGGCTTCAGGAATGGTGTCTTTGAGGTCCTGGTGGCTACAAACGTTGCAGCTCGTGGGTTAGACATCCCCGAAGTCGACCTGGTGGTCCAGTGTTCTCCCCCCAAGGTTTGATGCATTATCATAACTAAATTATGAATAGAATTAAAAAATTAATCGTGGTGGTTATACTTTATGTGTGTGTATTTATATTGTTTATTTGGTTTTAATGGGAAATTAACGTTGATGGGATTGAGGAAAAAATGAAGAAAATTGTTTAGAAATTAAAACAAAAAGCAGTCTCGAGTTTTAACTAGATTATCTTAAACGTTTTTGCCTGGTGGTTGTCAGGATGTGGAGTCGTACATCCATCGCTCAGGACGAACGGGCCGAGCGGGCAGGACCGGAGTCTGCATCTGTTTCTACCAGAGGAAAGAAGAAGATCAGCTGCGCTACGTAGAGAACAAAGCAGTAGGTGTCTTTGTAACCACTGGAATTGAGTTAAGATGGAAGGAAAATGGAAATGGCTGCCAAAATTTTAGGAAGTAAAAAAAAAGTCATATTCGTAATAAATCAAACGTAGAAATTGATTTCAGGGCTTAGTTAAAAGTTGGGGGGGAAACACGTGAGCCTAACTAAGCTGCTGCTGCTGGTAAAAATCTGCAAATTATTCAGTTAGAATCACACCACATTGATGTGTGTGTCAATTTAGTAATATGTTTCATGAATTGAGATATGGTCTAATGTAGAGGCCGGCCGATAAATAAAAATTTTTCTATGTCGGCCATCGGCTGAAATTATTTTTTAAAGCCAATAAAAAAAATTAAAAAAAATCAGGTGCTTGTGTGACCAAAGGCCATCACTACTAGACTGAAGAAAGGACCCGAAGGACCCCAACACATCGTTTTAATGTTTTGACTTAGTTTTCTATTTGAAATCTAATAAATATTAAGAGATTAGGGCCCGGCCGATATGCTTTTTTTGGGACCGATACCGATATAAACCTTTTAACAAAGGCCGATAGCCGATATAATGGCCGATAAATCTCCCTCACAAAAAAAATAAATAAATACAAATGTTCTTAAGATTAAACCCTTCATTCTCTGCCTTTTTGATGCTAACTTATTTCTATATTACACACCAAAGAACTGTCTCAATAACTCACTAGGGTTTCCATGTAATGCAAATAAGATTTATTTTACAATCTCAAAAACAACAGAACACACAAACTCAGTCAGTATGAATCTAACATTCAAGTTTTTTGTTTTCTGAGTCTGTGGAGTTTTACACTTTTGTGTTTTGATCCTTTCCATAGCCGACAGTATTAGGAAAATAAAAATAAGATACGTTAAATGACTAGTATGTGGCAATGTATGAGCCTTATGTAAAATATAAGGCTGAAAAAATACAATAGATTTATTCTATTGTAGAGAGGAATGTTTCGCGTATTACCGCCCCTACTCCTCTCCCAGCTAGGGGGAGGAGGGGGGACTCCCTGCACAGCGTTTCATTGCTTTGTTGCCAACCCCCCCTCCTCAGTCCTCAGCTGCGACAACGGTCGTGTGCCGCCGAAGCGCTGTGAAACGGGGACCGCCATCATTCGTCGCCCTTGTTATCCTATTCTATAGGCTACATGGGCCGCCGAAGCACTGCACGCCGGCGCTCCATCCCGCGCCGTGCAGCAATCGTTTTGGCGTCTGCACTATTTTTTTCGCGAGCTGCGGGTGAACCGCGTGAGTTTGAAAAGACTGCTGAAGAAGAGTGGAGGAAATAGTCTGAGAATATTCCAGAATATCTACCAGAAAAAGGCCAATGTTACTTACTTACTGCCCTACATGACTAAAGGGGAAGCAGCGTGAGCTCTGCATAGACTAGAGCGTAATGCTGCTGCAGTTTTATTTTATTTTTTCAGGTTAACTTTTCAATACGAGGCCACGAGGCACACAATAAACTTAGGAAGCATGTTGAGGGGAAACATACTTTTGTCATTGCTTATTTTACCGTTCAACTTACCACTGACACAACAAATATGCTTAAAACTGAAGACTTACCTCCTACTTCCTTATCACCGTTGTCTCTGCTTGACTGAATTGCTTCTGCTGCATACAACATGAGTTCATAGAGCTGGCGCCATCTGCTGGATAGGTAGCGCAATATCGGCCATATCGGCCGTCTTTTTGGCCTATAGTGTTAATGACCCCTATATCGGCCGGCCGATATATCGGTCGGGCCCTATAAGAGATTATTGACTTATTTAATTTATATTGCACACAGTGAGAGTTAAGTTGTCTTTCACAATCAATGTGCTGCTAAAACGTGTCTATGTACACCAGCAAAGCCTTAATAATCTGCTTAAGATTCCGGCCATCAGCAACAAAACTCTTTAAAACTCTGTATCAGCCTTAAAAAAAAAACATATCGGTCGGCCTCTAGTCTAATGACTATTTGTTCATTTGAACTAAAGATTTCCATCAACAGGTGGCCAAAATCCCATGAATGCATTTTAGAAACTCCCAAATGAAAATGTTTGCCTCCAAAAGTCTGCTCACTGAGAGACTGGCCTCTGGCAAAAAACAACCCTCAGTGCCAGACTGAGGTAGAACACCAAATAATCACACCGGTCACACATCTAATCAGGATTAAATAGTTAATGTAAATGAAGCTCTCAAATTGTTTGGTCGACAAAAGCTGGATATCAAAATATATTTTTTGTTTAAACTAAACTATTTATTTAATTGCAGGGCATCACATTCAGAAGAGTTGGTGTTCCAACTGCCAACGACATCATCAAGTCCTCCAGTAAAGATGCTGTCAGGTAGGTAAACTGGGTTTCTGTTTGTAAAAACAAACATTTCCTTTTGTGATCATTTATTTATTTATATATGTATATATTTTTTACGTTTTTAGGTTTCTGGACTCTGTTCCAGTTACAGCCATCAATTATTTCAGAGAGTCAGCCGAAAGGCTGATTGGGGAGCGTGGAGCAGTCGATGCACTTGCTGCTGCTCTGGCTCATATTTCTGGAGCCACGAGTCTGGAACAGAGATCACTGCTCAACTCTGATGTCGTAAGATTTATCTTCACACACATTCACACACTGCACTGATTTTCGACTCACTAGTCCATAACAGCGTTGATTGTTCACATTAGAAATTGTCATCTTTTCCATGGCTGAAATGAATCATCGAACAGTTCGATTCATTAAATTCCCTGATTCAATTTTTAGTGATCCGAATCTTCGTTAAACGTACGCACCACAGTCTGAACACATTTTACTGGCACACAATGTTGTAATCTAGGTGCTGTGGAGGAAAATAGAGGGACCAGCAAAGATGGAAACCACGTAAAGGCACAAACGGTCCAAAGTTCAGGATCAACTGTTGATAATTCTTCTCAACTGTGAAAGTAAATCTTAGTTTTTATTATTAAAAACGACATATTTATAGTTTTGAGACACAATAGATTTAGTTAGAATAACATTTAGTTATATCTGCTACATATTCTTTTAAACTTAAAGCAACACTTAATCATTTTACAATTTGTCTCTCCATCTGGTCGAAAGCAAAATTACAGCTGCTGTTGTAAACAACCCTGCCACAGCCTGTTGTAGCTTGTGCTAACAACTAAGGCTGCCACGAACGACTACTTTGATTGTCTGTCGACTAATCACCAGTTTTGCTGACTAATTGTGTCATGCATAAAAGTATAGCTCATTCCACCAGGATGTTCTAATATACCCATCATTAGCTTCTAGTTTGAAGTGTGATCAGTCAGACAAAAATCATATAATATAAGCCAGGTCACCATCGGCCCATGATTTAGTAGCTCCCTTTAGCTTCCTCAAACGAGTGTAGGCCGCACCGATCTTCACTCAGATTTTTAGCTCTTTGCTTCACCTCCAAAGAAATTGCTCCTTTCTTTCGAGGCTCCGCTGTGATGCCAACAAAAAAGCAAAAATCATCTTTTTCTTAAGCTTTTAATTAATGGTCAGCAAACTAAAAAAGCTAATTGCTAGCCAAACACGAAGATCTCACAGACTAAACTAATCCATCCCTGCACAATAGATTGCTACACTAACTACAGAGGATATACAGAATTTGAATTTGTTCTTTCTGAGCATAGGGGAAGTCTATTTCAGTGTTTCCCTTACATAGGCGTAGTCGTGGTGGCCCGCCACGGCTGAAAGATCCCGTTTTATTGATTTAAAAAAAAAATAAATAAAAAAAAAATATATATATATATATATATTTTTTTTTGCGCTGTTTTGCCGAAGAAGCAGCAGGAACTACTCTGTTGTTGCTTGTGATCACAGCCGGCAGGCAGCAAGGAGGAGGAGGCAGGGCAGGGTGGTTACAGCTAGGGATGAGCCGCGGATAAAGCATTTTTGACGAATACGAGCATGAAACGATTAAAACTCGTAAATATCTGTAATCGTTCTGAAGAAAAATCCTCATTGGGTAACTGACTGCCTTCACGCTCTGTGATTGGCCAGTCACATGGAGTGCCCGCCCCTCCCTACACACAAAACTGATCCGCCCCACGCACGCACACACACAGACAGTAACGGATCTCTCTGTGCTTGCTTCACTGTTGCTCACGTTTCTTCAGTACTCCCCAGGGTTTCTTCAGCTCGCCTCTTTTTCGGTTGAATATTTAAAGTTACCTTTGTCGTAACGGATATGGTGCATTTGACAAGACGGAGCCGAAAATGTCATGCGTCGGTCACTGCCTCCGCTCCGGTCGGGTTTTAAAAATTATCCCCCCCCCCCCCCCCCCCCCCCCATTGGAAAAATGCCAACAATGGTAGGAAAAAATTAGTTTAATCAAATTAAAATAGAATAAAAAGTTGTGTCTGGTTCTAGTATTTCATATTTCCTAGTTCCTACTGCATGAGTTCAGATGTATTAATTCATGCACTTAAATATTAATGTTCTGATTTAATTGACAAACTTGCTCTGTAATAGTTCCTTTACTATTGTGATCAAATATATTGTTAGGTTTTAACTTATGCTTTACCCCTTACTTTAAGAAGCTAAGAGGACAGAGAAAAGATGAGAACAGATGAGAAAGAAACCTGGGTATAAAAATATTTTCCTTATTTAATTAAAACATACATTATTTTTGTTACACAGATTACACTTGATCTTGGGGCTGGAGGTTCTAACAAATACCACTAGACACAGCCCAACAGAAAACTCCTGAGTAAAAAAAAAAGTACTAAAGAAAAATCACAGCTTTTAATTAAAAGCTGGAAAACCGACTATAATCAACAGATCTCAGGTAGCTTTTCAAATGAAATATTTACTTAGGCTGGTACAGGTTTCTAATAGCTTCTATAAGCAAAAAGGCTCTCTGAAGCCAAAAAAAACGAACCTTTTAAGGAACAGAGAATTATTAGTTTTCTGTCCAGGCAAAGATACCGGTATGAAGCGATTGGCACTAAATACTAGGAACCACTCACTCAGGCTTAAGTAGAATACCATGCAGAGGCTTTCCTCTAAACACGCGCACGTAATCACAATTCTACAAAGTCAGGGTGTCCAGAACGGAGCAGAAATGGAGACTACTCATGGGTTAGGAGTAGCTCCCCGGGCGTGTATCCAGCGTTCTTTTTATCCCCTCACGGGAACAAACACACTCAGTCCAAGATGAGCTGCAGGTGTGGCTGCAGCAATTCGGAGCGGGGACTTCCCAATGACGTCATCGGAGAGAACGTCATCCCGGCACGAATATCGATTTCGGATTTAAAATTATGTATTGATGTAAACCACACCCACTAATTTCCAAGTAATAAGTAAGAGGTGCATTCATCTGTGTGTTACCTTTGATCCACATTAGTGATATTTTCAGCACCAGAACAATGAAGCAAAGAAACAGATTCCTGAGTTTGTTAGTAATTTTATTTATTAGGTGCATCTGATCTGTTCTATTTTTCTCTGAAATGAGATCAAATCAGTGCTTCTATGGGTTGTCTCCTCTCTGCACTAGAAAACTTTACTTTATTATAATGTTCACTGTAATGCATCTTGATGTTCTTAACAAATAAATTAAATCAAAGATATTGGTCATTAATACCAAATACATAAATTAGTGTTTCAGTCATTTTTATACTGGCTTAAAAATGTTTATTCACTTAGCAAAAATACTTCATTAAGTCTACTAAGCAGGGGTGTAGAACATTTTTAATAGGGCCAGCCCAGTAATGATCTTGGACCAAAATAAAGGGGGCAGAAAGTCAAATAAAGGGGGGCAGAAGTAGATGTTTTTCCAGACGTCAAGAAAAATTAACCCCCCCCCCTCCAAAAAAAGTGTGTCACTGCGAGTTTAAACAAAAATTATTCTTGTGCAAATATTGGTGTATTCACTGTTAATACTAGTTATTAAAATGCAGCAGTTGCTGGATTGGTACAATTCAAAGTGGAGTGCGTCTAATAAAACAATATTAACTTAAAGGTGAGACGTGACCCCCCCCCCACACACACAGTTGGAAAAATTCCTAGGGGAAACACTGTATTTTATTAATATTTTCTTTTTAAGCTGCTTAAAATTTCACCTGTGTAAAACTTTGCTTGTTTTCTTTTCTATAACTTATTCTCAAAGAAGCTGTATTCAAAACAAGCACAGGAATTACGAATTTATTTTTTGATGCCTGTTTTTATTGAGTTCAGATTTCCCCCAATGCTTGAAGATTTTAGTTAAAAATAAACCTATTTTTTATTAATCCAAAACATTTATTTATTACATGTTCAGCTTATGAAAATTAATCTTTCAAATAAAAAATAAACTTCTGATATCTTCAAATCTCACTTAAAGGTACCAGTGAACATTAAAGGTGGACAAAAATAGTGATTTGTTTTACATCGTGATTTACATCCAGATCAGCTTTTTTTCTTAAGTTTTGTCTTTTGTCAACACATTCAAACTCCACCAGGTTAGGTTGGTACATTATTGCACATTCATCCTCAAATGACTCTAGAGTCTAGTAGCTTTTATCTGATTTTGTAATGTTTAGTTTTTTAAAGACCACCCAGATGGGCTCTAGGCATTACAGCTACATCACTTTATTTACCCAGATTCCCCCACATAGCAGAGCCAACCAAGGATGGTCTGTTTTAAGATTCATTGTTCCTTTAGGATTGTAAATATTTGTTTTTCTTTCCAAATGCTTTGCTTGTTTTTGCAGGGTTTCACCACTATGCAGCTGGTGTGCTCTCAGGAGATGCATAATATCGGTTATGCCTGGAGAACCATGAAAGAACAGCTAGGAGAAGAGATTGAAAACCACATTCACAGAATGACCTTCCTCAAAGACAGAACTGTAAGCATTCATGTATTTTTCTTGTATAATGTGGGTAGAATCTGGATGGTGCATTTCCTTTTTCATTGTATAGATTTCTAGCTTGATAAGATGAAATATCTGCTTTTTAAATGTAGTTTTATTGATGTTATTGCTGAAACATCTGGTGTTGTACATGATAGCAATTAATGAAAGTGGGTTTATAAAAGAAACGCTGATAGTTTTGTTTTTCTTGTCTATAATAGGGGGTTTGTTTTGATGTCCCAGTCGATAAAGTCAAGGAGATACAGGTAAGAACAATAATTCATGTTTTTAGAATATAATGCAAATTTTCACTTTTTCGTGTCTTTCTAAACCTCAAATTTGGCCCGCTCCTTCATTAGGAGACATGGAGCGACGGCCGCCGCTGGCAGCTGACTGTGGCCACCGAGCTCCCAGAGCTGCTGGAAAGGCAGACCAGTAACCGTGGCGACAGGGGCTTTGGCGGCGGTAACCGCAGTGACAGAGGAGGTTTCAGAGGAGGTTTCAGAGGTGGAAGGGACAGGAATTTTGGGGGAAGCAGTGGCCGTGGCAACAGATTCCGGAGTGGTGGAGGCGGATATGGCAACAACAGAGGAGGAGGAGGAGGACACAAGCGTTCCTTTAGCCAAGCTTTTGATTACTGAAGTGTCAAACCTGTGGACTAAACTGTCACTTTGTTTTTATTGGCTGTCATTCAGGGCACTGATTTCAGGTCAGATTAAACAACATATTATCTGAATAAAGTCATCAACTTCCATTTTTGTGTGTGTAAAAGAAAAACACAGAGACTCCCTATTTTTTGCCTAATGTGAAGACATTAGTCAAACCTTTGAAATGACACATTCCTACTTTTTCAGATCATGATGCACAATTAAAGCAACAAATCACTTAAAAAAATCAGTAAAAGGGCTTTAATAAAGTTATTGTTTTGTGTCGACTGGAAAGAGTCTTAGGCTGGGTTTATAGTTTTATCCTGTTGGATTGTATGTTTGGGGAACAGTAGCAGTGATCAGCTTTTGATCTTCTTGAAGACTCCTTTTGCAAAACAGAAAAATAATTGTCAAATTTAAAATGGAGTGAAGAGAATTTAACTAGACGTGAGACTCCCATCATGTTGGACCTGCCATTTGTTCAGCGCTAACAGGAAAAGTGATTACATGTATGTAAACTTTGACCCAGTGCTCACTGATTGCTGTGTCATCAGCTGCTACATCTCACAACTATCAGATCGTTGCTTTGCAATTGCCTTTGATAACTACTGCTTCATTTGAATGAAATGACCAATTCATAAAAAAAAATCCATTAGTGTTCGTTTATTTGAAGGTTTAAAATATGATCATCCTTACTGAAGTCTTAGCCCAAATAGAAATATCTGAGAATACAGATGTGGACAAAATTGTTACCCTAAAGTCAACGAAAGAAAGTCCCACAATGGGCCCAGAAATCATTTGAATCTGACAAAAGTAATACAATTTTTATGAAATGTAACCAATGAAAGTCAGACAACTTTACAACCATGCATTATTAAAAAAAAAAAACGCCAAGATAAAAATGATCGTACCTCTAGAAAAGACTGAAAATAATGTAACCAAAGGGACATGTTAATTCAAAGTGTGTCCACGAAAGGAAGCAGTTGTCTCAGGAGATAAGGAAGAAAATGAACTTAACCCAAGCTGCTAGATGTTCCTGTGATTACAGTTGCACATATTCAGAAGTTTGTGATCCATGGGACTAGCCAACCTCCTTGGATGTGGCCGCAGGAGGAAAATTGATGACAAATCGAACAGACGGATTTATCTGAATGAATAAAAGAGCCCAGAAAAGTGTCTGAATAGATCCAAGGTGTTCTTCAACAAGGACAATGACCCAAAATACACAGCTAAAAACACCCAAGAATGGCTAAGAGGAAAACATTGGAATATTCTTAAGTGGCCTTCTATGAGCCCTGACCTCAATCCAATTGAGCATCTTTGGAAAAAGCTGAAACAAGCCGTCTGAAAGGCGCCCTTCAAACATGAGACAACTGGAGCAGTTTTGTGGAAATGAGCTATGAGACCAGGATTTGATTATAAGAGCTTTCACTGGTTACTCTCAGCAACTTACACAGCCATGTTAACCGGGTAGCTCGAACGCGTGGTACATACAAACACCTCCCACGTCACAACTACGGTGTCTGTTAAAGTTCATCTGCAGCATAACTCAATCATTGGATCAACTGATCTACATTCTCTCCTTTTAGTTATTACCATTGAAAATCAAAATATGCTATGTATAACAAAATTAAATACTAATGACCCACAATCGATGCCACGACCCACACTACAAAGTAGGAGATGTGAAATGATGTTGAACATTAATTGGCGATTAACTAATAAAGTCTTGTAACATTTTTTTTCAAACCCTTATAACATTCTTATAACTTTTTTTTTAAATCAAACCCAAATGTCCAGGAACATAAACGTGAATCTGGTTGTCTGACATCACAACTGAATACTGGATAGATAAGAACCATCAATGTAGCATTAATACACCACCTTCCCTTTTTTTTTTTTTTTTAAACATTGTACTTGGGGTTAGGCTTACAAATGCGGCCTGAGCGTGTCACATAGCATTACTGTGTGATATCCCGGTGGAAGAGCAAACTGCAGGAACTTGTAGCACGCTGGAATGTGGAGTGGGCGTTCCAACTGGTGGAGGTGTCTGCTGGGGTCCTAGAGCAGGGGAAGGAATGTTCGGTGAGGCAGGATCAGCAGGATGGGGGCATAGACGTGCAGGGCTGACCTGTCGGGGTGGTGGTGGCTCTGCAACGGGTAGGATGTGGCGACAATTTCTCCTATAGGTTCCTCCATTAGATTTGATGATGTAGGAGCGTGGTTCGCGGCACACCTCCTTCACCGTGCCAAGGCGATAGTGTCCCTTAGTAGCCTGCAACCTGACGACTTGACCCTCCGTGAGTGGTGGCAATGGGCGGCTTGTTGAGTGCTTCTGGATGAGCCTTTTCTTTTCGAGTTGCACTCTGATCAGCTCAGCGTCCTTTGGGGCCTGTTCCAGCAGTGTGGTGTTGACAGGAAAAGTCGAATGGGTTTGCCTGGACATTAGACGTTCTGCAGGTGATCCCAGCGTTTTATCACGTGGAACATTTCTGATGTTTAGAAGATTGAGGAAAACGTCTGTCCCATCTCTATGAGATCTTTCCATCAACAGCTTGGCGCTGCGAACGGCTCTTTCGGCTAGTCCATTAGACTGTGGGTATTCTGGACTGCTGGTTACATGGACAAAGTCCCATTGCTGAGCAAATTCTCTAAAACGCTGACTGGTGTATTGTCTCGCATTGTCAGAAATCAGGGTGTGAGGTGCCCCGTGGACTGAAAAATGTCTTTTCAGTTTGGTGATCACAGCTGCCGAAGATGTGTCCTGGAGACGGTCGATTTCGAACCAGCCTGAGTAGGAGTCGACTAGCACCATGTACTCTTGTCCATGCCACTCGAACATGTCTGTGGCGTAGACCAAGGCAGGGTAGGAACTGGATGTAGTTTTAAAGATTCCTTCTGTTGGTGCGGTCGGGTGCTGTTGCATGCTGAGCAGGAGAGCAGTTCTGTTGTTATGTCTTTGTTCATTGCCGGCCAAAATACAGTGCCTCTTGCTCTGCGTTTTGTGGCTTCTAAGCCTGGGTGACCCCTGTGCATGATGCTTATGTATTCCTGTTTCAGGGAGTCAGGAATGACAGTTCTTTGACCTTTAACAACAACACCGTTCTCCACAATCAACTCTTCTCTGTATGGAAAGAATGGACGCACAGAAAGCGGAACCTGACGGTCTTTGTTGGGCCAGCCGTTCTGAATCACCGTGGTTAGAGTTTGCGGGACTTGGTCCCTTGCTGTGTGGGCTCGTAGCTCCTCCAACCTGCTGTAGAGATGTAGCTGAGAGACATCACTTCGAAGTCATTGTTTTCACCTTGTGTTCGGGAAACACTGCTGCTTACTGGCGATAGATCCGTGAAGTCTTCTGACACCATGTGGAAATGAGCTATGAGACCAGGATTTGATTATAAGAGCTTTTACTGGTTACTCTCAGCAACTTACACAGCCATGTTAACCGGGTAGCTCGAACGCGTGGTACATACGAACACCTCCCACGTCACAACTACGGTGTCTGTTAAAGTCCATCTGCAGCATAACTCAATCATTGGATCAACTGATCTACAAGTTTGCTCTTGAGTGGGCCAAAATACCTGCTGAGAGGCACAGAAGTCTCATTGACAGTTACAGGAATTGTTTGATTGCAGTGATTGCCTCAAAATGTTGTGCAACAAAATATTAAGTTGGGGTACCATCATCTTTTTCCAGGCTTGTTCCATGAGTTTGTCATTACTTCAGTCAGATTCGAGTTATTTCTGTGACTGTTGTGGGTTTTTCTTTCATTGGCCAAAGGGTAAGGGTTAGGGTTATCTGTCTTATGTCTAGTTAACTTTGAGATTGCAGAGTCACTGGTTTAATTGGTCCTAAAGATCATACAAACCTGCATCACAGACAGAAGCATTAATACAACAAGCTGTTGGAAATGTAAGAAACACTTTCTTCTTTGTGACAAAAATAACATATTGAAAGAACTCATGGCTGTCTCCAACTATTTTACCATTAATTAGATACAGAAAAATCATGTGATTTAGTACCTTGCAGAAAATAGTTTATTTAAAGTTTATGCAGGTCATTTTACAAATACAAATACATTATTCACAGTTTTAATTAATTCTACAGTTTTTCCAGCCAGTTAAGTCGTTTATGGACTTTTCCCCTCTTTTCAATTACCAACATTCATAATTACTCAATTTAAATGCGATGTTCTAAAGGTAACTCCAATTACTCTAGAACATCATAAACCATAAAGTATAAGTCTGTGTGCAAATATGTAATGGAAAGATTATCAATAAAACATTACTGTCAAATGGAGAGCATGGCTTGTGCGACATCATCTTTAATCAAGATGCATTTATCCATGCAGACAAAATAAATACACATTTAGGTAAAACAGTCATTAAAACCACTCTCCAGTGGCTTTTTAAAAACCTACATCCACTTTCTCATTTATTATTGCCAAACAAAACGTATTAAACTCTTGATAAAGGAAAACGATTTCTCTAATGCTGGTTAGCTTCCCAATGTTGATGCGGAATGGTGAAAAGTTAACTAGCTGTGTCGACCAAGTAAGGACACGGCATCGGATACAACAAATCTTAGCAACCTATGTGTGGTTTGATAAAAACATGCAAGCATGAATTTGTCGTGAAGACTTAAAGAAATAAACCCTCACAGAAAAAGCAGCCGTAGGTTGGTAAGGAACTTAATAGCAGTTGTTTAGAAGTCTTCGCTGGTTACTGTAATGGCATTTCGGTTTGCAAAGGTGAGATCCTCACTTTCATCCTCCTGTTTGGCAAAAATACACAAATTTCAGATCTCAAGAGTCATAATTACAAATGAATTCACATTTACAAACTTCTGTTTGTAGAACAGTACAAAGGTGGCACCCCATGGTTACTTACAATCTCTCTCACTTTGTAGTCTTTTTCTGAGCCACGATAAGAGACCACATGGATCAGAGTGTAGACCCTGCACATAGAAAGGCTCAAAACATTTAGAAAATGCACAAAAAACTAAAATAAAGTAGGGATGCACAATATATCAGCATCAATCTTGGTAAGAAATTAAAAAAAATATCTGTATCGGTCCAATAAGTAAAACTGGGCCGATATTAACAACAGATATTTTTTTCATATAGTTTCAGTTTGTGTTTCAGAGGGTGAGGGGTGATGATGTGTAATTGAATAACCACATGACAGTGATGGTAGCCATCTCAGAAGCAAAAATATGTGTAGTGTGTGTAAATCATAATTAGTGAAGGAGTAAGTAACTGCAGGTTTCAAAACGACCTTGAATCCATTATAGCAGCAAAGCAGTCACTGGTAGAGCCGCGTTGCTGTTAGCCAATCAGAGACGAGATTTCCAAATATCAGGAAATAAGACTGCACACTTTCTTCACCAGCTGACTTCTACATCCTCTAACAGGTGCATCTGAGCCCCCCCATAAGTGTGTGACTTATGGTAGATGGACTGACAGAGTCTGACCTGGAGGCTTCCCAGTTCCTCCCAAAACCTCTGGCGGAGGAAGCTCCAGACCTACCAGGCAATGTGGCTTGGTGGACCTCCAGGTTGAGGTCCCCTTGAATAGCCCACTAGTCCCTCTCCTCAAAGAGGTGCGCATCCCGCTGCACTGCCCTCTCCCAAGGTAAAGGTGTGGCCTCAGTGGTGGTGGCTGGACCTTTTCAGTGTCCTGTACACAGACTGGGACAGGGCTATCTGGATAAGCCTATCTCCTTCTGTTTGGCCAGTCCTTCAAGGCCAAGTTGGAGTCACAGAAGCAGAAGTCCATCATCCCCAGCCGTGATGCGAGGCCCAAGGCACCTCTCAACACTCTCAAAATCATGGCTACCCCATCTCCATCAAGGAGAATGGAGTCACTGGAAGTGACGGCAGGCGCTTCGTCAGGCTGGGCCTAGCCATTGCCCCCTCACCAGGTGGCTTGGAGATGAGGTCCTCCTGCTGGTGTACAGAGATGCTCTGCCACCTATCAGGAGGAACCTCAGTCTTCCTGATCTCAGGACCAGGTTAATTTGGGCCTTGGACTCTTTCAGAATTTCAAGCCCCAGTTTTCAGCTATTTAAGCGGCCATGTTCATTTTCTGTTCCAATTTAAAGTGCCAAAGAATTCACTTTTATTTTTCTAGCACATTTCTCAGGTGAAAAACACAAAGTGCCTCACAACAATGTGATACAATTACAAAACTAGAAATAGAAAAAAACAGATAAAATTTTCTGAAGAAGTTTTAAAAGGGGCCTGCCTGCTGGCACAAGATATAGACCACTTTTCTCATATTTTTATTTCATATGCAACTGTCTCTAGTTGGAATGAGTGCCTTCTAAGTCACACTCAGGAGAATAAAAGCTCTGGTGCGCATTTTCCTGCTCTTTTTTCCTGAAATTTGCACATCTCTCGTCTGATTGGCTAACAGCAAATGAACTTTTCTTTGTAACTTTGTATTATTTTTATTAATCTAAGTAAAAGTGCAGAATGTAAGAATATCGTGAGAATTCTACAGTGAGAAAATCCCAAAAGAGTCTAATGTTTCAGTAATTTTGGAAGGAAGGTTATACTGAAACATATTTCATGTTGCGGCACTACAATTGTAATTTAACGATGGCCGGCAAAAAGCTCCAGAGTTGTTTAAAGTGGCTGCAGTAACCACGTTTTACCACAGGATGTCATTTTTCTTCATTTCTACATAATGCATCTTTAAATAATGTAAACAATTTAAATAAGCTGTTATGATCAGTTACTCAGTGCTTGAGGACCCTTTGCTACTTTTATTTTTCCTGGAATCTTTTGTAGATTATTACTATTTACTCCTACTTGAGTAGAAACATTACAATAATGCTCTTAGAGTTTTGGTCCACCCTCAGACCTGTTTCACTCCCACAGGTGCAGTCCTCTAGGTTTGAACCGCTCTTAGTCTGAGCCCTAAACTGAGACCATGTTGCCATTGGAGACAGGGGCTGATGTCCCTGACAACACAGCTTCCAAGATCATGGAGCTCCTCAAACCCTTCCACCACGATAAGGTGGCAATTCTGCGAAAGGTGGTGAATTCTGTGCGGCTGTCTGGATGAGGGTGGGCAGGGTCTCGAAAAACTCTTCTGACGTAGCAGGATGACCGCTTGAACCTGCTATCAGTTAGTGAGCTCATCATCCGTTCAATTCAGTTTATTTATATAGTGCCGCATCACAACAAGAGTCGT